ACAAACAAACAATCAATAGTGATATCTAGATGTTCCTGTTCATCCTCTAGTAACTACAAAAAAAAAACAATCACTAGTGATATCTAGATATTCCTGTACATTCTCCTGTAACTACAGAGAAAAACAATCAATAGTGTTATCTAGATGTTCCTGTACATCCTCCAGTAACTACAAAAAATAAATCAATAGTGATATCTAGATGTTCCTGTACATCCTCTAGTAACTACAAAAAAACAATCAATAGTGATATCTACATGTTCCTGTACATCCTCTAGTTACTACAAACAAACAATCAATAGTGATATCTAGATGTTCCTGTACATCCTCTAGTTACTACAAACAAACAAACAATAGTGATATCTAGATGTTCCTGTACATCCTCCAGTAACTACAAAAAATAAATCAATAGTGATATCTAGATGTTCCTGTACATCCTCTAGTAACTACAATAAAACAATCAATAGTGATATCTACATGTTCCTGTACATCCTCTAGTTACTACAAACAAACAATTAATAGTGATATCTAGATGTTCCTGTACATCCTCTAGTTACTACAAACAAACAAACAATAGTGATATCTAGATGTTCCTGTACATCCTCTAGTTACTACAAACAAACAAACAATAGTGATATCTAGATGTTCCTGTACATTCTCTTGTTACTACAAAAAAACAATCAATAGTGATATCTAGATGTTCCTGTACATCCTCCAGTAATTACAAACAAACAATCATTAGTGATATCTAGATGTTCCTGTTCATCCTTTAGTTACTACAAATAAACAATCATTAGTGATATCTAGATGTTCCTGTATATCCTTTAGTTACTACAAGCAAACAATCAATAGTGATATCTAGATGTTCCTGTTCATCCTCTAGTAACTACAAACAAACAATCAATAGTGATATCTAGATGTTCCTGACATCTAGTAACTACAACAAACAATCAATAGTGGTATCTAGATGTTCCTGTACATCCTCCAGTTACTACAAACAATCAATCAATAGTGATATCTAGATGTTCCTGTACATCCTCCAGTTCCTACAAACAAACAATCAATAGTGATATCTAGATGTTCCTGTACATCCTCTAGTAACTACAAACAAACAATCAATAGTGATATCTAGATGTTCCTGTACATCCTCTAGTAACTACAAACAAACAATCACTAGTGATATCTAGATATTCCTGTACATTCTCCTGTAACTACAGAGAAAAACAATCAATAGTGTTATTCAGATGTTCCTGTACATCCTCCAGTAACTACAAAAAATAAATCAAAAGTGATATCTAGATGTTCCTGTACATCCTCTAGTAACTACAAAAAAAACCCAATCAATAGTGATATCTACATGTTCCTGTACATCCTCTAGTAACTACAAAAAAACAATCAATAGTGATATCTAGATGTTCCTGTTCATCCTCTAGTAACTACAAAGAAACAATCATTAGTGATATCTAGATGTTCCTGTATATCCTTTAGTTACTACAAGCAAACAATCAATAGTGATATCTAGATGTTCCTACACATCCTCCAGTAACTACAAACAAACAATCAATAGTGATATCTAGATGTTCCTGTACATCCTCCAGTAACTACAAACAATCAATCAATAGTGATATCTAGATGTTCCTGTACATCCTCCAGTTACTATAAACAAACAATCACTAGTGATATCTAGATGTTCCTGTAAATCCTCTAGTAACTACAAACAAACAATCACTAGTGATATCTAGATGTTCCTGTACATCCTCTAGTTACTACAAACAAACAATCAATAGTGATATCTAGATGTTCCTGTACATTCTCCCGTAACTACAGAGAAAAACAATCAATAGTGTTATCTAGATGTTCCTGTACATCCTCCAGTAACTACAAAAAATAAATCAAAAGAGAAAACGAGATGTTCCTGTACATCCTCTAGTAACTACAAACAAACAATCAATAGTGATATCTAGATGTTCCTGTTCATCCTCTAGTAACTACAAACAATCAATAGTGATATCTAGATGTTCTTGTACATCCTCTAGTAACTACAAACAAACAATCAATAGTGATATCTAGATGTTCCTGTTCATCCTCTAGTAACTACAAACAAACAATCAATAGTGATATCTAGATGTTCCTGTACATCCTCTAGTAACTACAAACAAACAATCACTAGTGATATCTAGATGTTCCTGTACATCCTCTAGTAACTACAAAAAAAACAATCAATAGTGATATCTAGATGTTCCTGTTCATCCTCTAGTAACTACAAACAAACAATCATTAGTGATATCTAGATGTTCCTGTATATCCTTTAGTTACTACAAGCAAACAATCAATAGTGATATCTAGATGTTCCTACACATCCTCCAGTAACTACAAACAAACAATCAATAGTGATATCTAGATGTCCCTGTACATCCTCTAGTAACTACAAAAAAAAACAATCAATAGTGATATCTAGATGTTCCTGTACATCCTCCAGTAATTACAAACAAACAATCAATAGTGATATCTAGATGTTCCTGTACATCCTCCAGTTACTACAAATAAACAATCAATAGTGATATCTAGATGTTCCTGTACATCCTCTAGTAACTACAAACAAACAATCAATAGTGATATCTAGATGTTCCTGTACATCCTCTAGTAACTACAAACAAACAATTACTAGTGATATCTACATAAGTATCAATTACTGAATTTGCAAAATTACATATTCTTAAACTTGGATGAATTGGTCACTGCTTAAATTGTAAGATGAATAACAGAAAGAAGAAATTGTGACAACAGGACAGATGGACTGGAATAACAAAAAAATATGCCTTGCAATTACTTTTTGTATAAGGGATAATTTTATTGTTTTCAGGGTACAGAGAGACCCATCAATTTGTGTCCTTTATGAAAATTTAAGCGAATCACCACATTTCTTCCACTGTGAAATCAAATCCCCACACACCAATTTTTTCCATAAACCACAGAAATTTGACCCCTTAAAAATATGCGGTTTTTAACAGTACCCAAACTCTCTTTTAGAAACTGCAGGTAAAAACAAGAGGCCCACGGGCCTTATAGGTCACCTGAGCATTATGCAACAACTTTCCAGTTACAGTGTATTGAATTTGATTCATGTTTTAAGCCAGATGCTATATGGCATTCACAATTTTGAAAGAGGCACCATTGATCATCATAACAATACACTTAACAGTTGCTTAGCTTGGTAACTGAATACCCATACGCAGGGTAGGGGAACAAAAATGCACTCCAACTAATCAGTAATATTCAGCAATAATCAGTAGTGCCCCTAACACTGTGACATAAACCCCTGACCCTAGGTCCAAACATTGCACAAATTTTTAAAAGGCACCCTTAAAATTGCCTATCAAAAAAATAAATAAATGTTTTATAAATACAAAGGAGCAGATTTCAAACAATAAATTCATTTTCAGTATATAAGTAGAGCCCCCCCCCCACCCCTGACCCTGGGGCCTTAAAATACGCAATTCTGCAAGATTAGGGCCCTTGCTCATCATAACTATATAGGTAGTTCATCTACTTCATACCCTGAGACTGAGAAGAAAATTTTCAAAGATTTAATGAATTTTCACTATATAATCAATAGAACCCCGCCCCAACACCAGACCCTTGACCCTGGGACCATAAAATTCACAATTTTGGTAGAGGCAACCTTGCTCATCATTACTATGCACTTAGTAAGTTTATTTAATACCTAGGAGCAGAGAAGAAGATTTTCGAAGAATTCATGTATTTTCACTATATAATCAATAGAGCCCCCCCCCCCCCCAACACCAGAACCCTTGACCCTGGGGCCATAAAATTCACAATTTTGGTAGAGGCACTCTTGCTTATCATAACTATGCACTTAGTTAGTTTATTTAATACTTGGAGCAGAGAAGAAGATTTTCAAAGAATTCATGTATTTTCACTATATAATCAATAGAGCCCCCCCCCCCCCCCAACACCAGAACCCTTGACCCTGGGGCCATAAAATTCACAATTTTGGTAGAGGCACTCTTTCTCATCATAACTATGCACTTAGTTAGTTTATTTAATACCTAGGAGCAGAGAAGAAGATTTTCAAAGAATTCATGTATTTTCACTGTATAATCAATAGAGCCCCACCCCAACACCAGAACCCTTGACACTGGGGCCATAAAATTCACAATTTTGGTAGATGCACTCTTGCTTATCATAACTATGCACTTAGTTAGTTTATTTAATACAAAGGGGCAGAGAAGAAGATTTTCAAAGAAATCATGTATTTTCACTATATATAATCAATAGAGCCCCACCCTAACACCAGAACCCCTGACCCTGGGGCCATAAAATTCACAATTTTGGTAGAGGCACTCTTGCTCATCATAACTATGTACTTAGTTGGTTTATTTAATACCCAGGAGCAGAGAAGAAGATTTTCAAAGAAATAATGCATTTTCACTATATACTTATTTAGCCCCGCCCTAGCACTAGAACCCCTGACCCCAGGGCCATGAATTTCACAGTTTTGGTAGAGGACTCAATGCTGATTACAATCATGCAAACAGTTTGACTGCTTGTTGTCCAGGAGTAAAGAAGAAGATTTTTAAAGATTGCATTAATTTTAGTGGTTTTGGCCCCACCCCTCAGGCCCCAGGGGGGCAGGGATCATGAAATTCAAAATTTTTGTTCCCCTTCACCCATAGATGCTTTGTGCCAAATTTGGTTGAAATTGGTTCAGTGGTTGCAGAGAAGAAACTGAAAATGTTCAAATGTTAACACACGACGGACGACGCACGACGGACGACGCACGACGACGGACGAAAACGGATAGCAATAGGTCACCTGAGTTTACTCAGGTGACCTAAAAACAAACAGGCAACCAAACAACCAGGGTAATGACTTCTTGTCCATAGTGACAACTACATTTTTTTATTCATCCTATAGTATATACCGGTATTTGTAACTATACAAACAAAAAACATCAAATTTATACACAAAACAAAACAAGGTTTATGAGGTTCAGTTGGTTTAATATTTTTAACATATCAAAATCCATAAAAAACATGAACACATATAAAAAATATATACAATAATGTAAATCTCAAAACTCATACTTGTTTGGCGCTCTGGGGGCTACTCATTACTTTCTCTACCTTTCCTTCCAACTCTTAACTGTGATCAATAAATAAAGCTCTGGGGGCTACTCATTACTTTCTCTACCTTTCCTTCCAACTCTTAACTGTGATCAATAAATAAAGCCACTCCAACCTGATCTCGAAACAATTAGACCCAATTCTGCCTAGAGCTGATCCCTAAAGGCAAGCACCAAAAACAACTCCGGGCTGATCCCAGGAGTGCACAATGCCTGGGGCTGATCCCGGCAGGCTACTAACAAGACAATCCTCTGGGCTGATCCCAAGAGGACGCTCAACAAGAAACATGCCTAGGGCTGATCCCTAGAGGCAAGCACAAATCGCCACTCCGGGCTGATCCCAGGAGTGATATGCCTGGGGCTGATCCCAGCAGGCCAAGAAAACTGACGGACCTCTGGTCTGATCCCGAGAGAATGTAAACAAGATACCTAACCTTGGGCTGATCCCTAAGGCTAAAAGTAGAACCCACACTCCGGGCTGATCCCAGGAGTGTATCGCGCCTGGGGCTGATCCCAACAGGCTACATAACCAGACAAAATACCTTCGAGTTCAAACTATGGGCTAATCCCATTGTTTTTGATGCATAAAATATAACTATTCTTATATACATGTACTACACTATACAATCGAAGTATTTAAACCGAACTAATCCACTTCAGACACACAAAATTTAAATATAAATAATATTGGGGGGCAAAATTCCCCAGGAATGAACGCCGAATGAAAATGAACACTAATGAGCAGCCCCAAAGAGAGCCAAGGGCGCTGCAGGGGATGGAGGGTGGGTAGCTTCTTCACATTAGTCCGTGACTTCTAGGCTCCAACTGCAATTGCCAGACTCCCCCTCTAGGCATCAATGCCCCTGGCTACTCTTTTCTTATTGGTTAATCCAAAAAATACCCCATAGACAAAAACTATTTATAGAAACACATCCTGGTTACATAAAAAATAAAATGCAACAAATTTAGTTCAGTCACAAAGGCTAGAAAAGACAATTTGTGTATAAATAATAATTTAATGTCATTAAATATCAATTTATACACAAAACAAAACAAGGTTTATGAGGTTCAGTTGGTTTAATATTTTTAACATATCAAAATCCATAAAAAACATGAACACATATAAAAAATATATACAATAATGTAAATCTCAAAACTCATACTTGTTTGGCGCTCTGGGGGCTACTCATTACTTTCTCTACCTTTCCTTCCAACTCTTAACTGTGATCAATAAATAAAGCCACTCCAACCTGATCTCGAAACAATTAGACCCAATTCTGCCTAGAGCTGATCCCTAAAGGCAAGCACCAAAAACAACTCCGGGCTGATCCCAGGAGTGCACAATGCCTGGGGCTGATCCCGGCAGGCTACTAACAAGACAATCCTCTGGGCTGATCCCAAGAGGACGCTCAACAAGAAACATGCCTAGGGCTGATCCCTAGAGGCAAGCACAAATCGCCACTCCGGGCTGATCCCAGGAGTGATATGCCTGGGGCTGATCCCAGCAGGCCAAGAAAACTGACGGACCTCTGGTCTGATCCCGAGAGAATGTAAACAAGATACCTAACCTTGGGCTGATCCCTAAGGCTAAAAGTAGAACCCACACTCCGGGCTGATCCCAAGAGTGTATCGCGCCTGGGGCTGATCCCAACAGGCTACATAACCAGACAAAATACCTTCGAGTTCAAACTATGGGCTAATCCCATTGTTTTTGATGCATAAAATATAACTATTCTTATATACATGTACTACACTATACAATCGAAGTATTTAAACCGAACTAATCCACTTCAGACACACAAAATTTAAATATAAATAATATTGGGGGCAAAATTCCCCAGGAATGAACGCCAAATGAACGAAGTAATGAGTGAAGCCCCCAAGAGTATTTGCTGGTTAGATGAACATGGTGATGCAGCATTTTGACAGACGTAGACACTGATATCAAATGTGAAATGAAAGAACGTCCTGGAAGGATAACCCGGCATGCAAAATTCAGATGTCCCAGGAGACTGAGTAGTTCCCTTTTCGTGCATGCTTTGCGATGAAGAAAAGATTCTACTATTTCAGAGATTCTTATAATCTTTTCTCTCGGTAATCTAGCTTCCATACGTACAGTGTCTAAAAAGATTCCCAAGTATTCTAGCTCTGTGCAAGGTCCTTCAGTTTTCTTTGCAGATAGAGGTATGCCTAGTTTGTTGAAAATGTCCAGGAATCTTTGCATTATTTCACTTGCATTGTTGTTCTGAGGCACGATGACCAGAAAATCATCCAAAAGATGCAAAATATTGGAAATATTGTACTTATTTTCTGCAATCCAGCAAACTGCTGAAGATAAATGGTCAAAAATCTTTGGGCTAGAACGACTACCAAATACTAAGCGTTTGAAGAAATAGTACTTCTTGTTCCATTTTACACCATGATATGGCCAAAGTTTGTGACATATGGGCATTATTTTGAATGCATCTGTGATGTCAGTTTTTATCAGTAGAGCTCCTTTCCCCAAACTTTTTATAAGCTGAATAGCATCGTCAAGGGTAACATAGCTTAGCGAGAATTCTTCTTTGTCTATCAGCTCATTCAAACTAGGATGCATTTCATCATTATGAGGTGCTGACATGTCTACGATAAGGCGTTTCTTTTTGGAATACTTGCTTTCAGCCACTCCAATGGGGTTAATGCGATACTGAGAGAAGGGAATTTGGTCAAAGGGTCCATAAAGATATCCTTTGCTTACCTCCACTTGAATTAGCTCAGTAACCACGTCTGGTTGTAACGTTGCAGATCTTAAATTCTTGCATTCAAATGATTTATCTGGAATGATCTGTATACCTGTGTGGAAACCCTGCTTCAAACCATGTAGTAAATAGTCTGTGAAAGTTTTATTTGGATGATCAAACAGCAAGTTTTGTAGTACATCAATATTTACAGGTGTGGTGATCTCCGAATTGAGATTGCTAATCACAGTTTCTGTTGATTCGAGGCCCCAGTTTGGGGCCATTGAGAGTTTTTTGAACTATCGCATTTCAATCTAGAGTGATCTCCCTTACAATCAATACAAATATGAGCATTCCTACAACGAGCAAGCGCACATCCTTTTGCCCCATTAAAGTTGTTACAAATCTCTCTTCCTGCACTGAAATGACGTTTCCTTCCATATGAATCTATGTCTCTATCCCCTTGTTTTCTGTCCACAGATGTCTTAGACAGAGGGCAAAATCCAGACAAATGCAAAGTGCTGTTGCACCATGAACAAGTTTGTGCTTTGGCATTAGCAAAAATGTTGCAGAACAACGTATTGTTGCGAACTGACCAGTCCACCAGTATGTTGTTGAACTTCAAATGTGAAGCCGCAATTAAGCTAAATTGTCTGTGATATTCGTAAAACCCTTTACCTGGGTAACGTGTGGCCATTTCCACTATGTCTCGCTCGTACAAATCCAATTCCGTTCTCCTTTGTGGGTATGAATTACACATAATGTTTTTGTATATTCCGAACGCCTGTATAAACTCCCCTAGTGTCAAGACTCTTTGAAGTCGATAATCTGTTTTAGTGTCGGTGGCTTTATCTTCTGTTGTAGGAGCATAATAAGGAATTAATAAGGCAGCAAGATTAACATCCTTACCTGCCGTTATCTGCTGTCTTAGTTGGGGAGAGATCGTTTCCACTAAAGGGAGAGATTCTGCTGCGTAACCATATCTAGTCCTAGTATAATCGGGCCTGCCCAGTTGAGCTTCAGATCCGGCCGCCGCCGATACAATGCGTGATGTTGAAGTCTGCATGGCCGTAATAGCGGACGAAATGTTGAAATTGTTTGATATTTCGGTAGTGGCCACATTTTGTCCACTGCTAGGATCTAGAGCTGTTGTTACACTTACAGTTGGATTCACCGTCGGCGTTGTGATCGTGGAATTTAGCAGCGGTGTATTTGTAATTTCGCTGTGTCTAGAGTTCACATCCGCAGATAGAGACGTCGAAGTCAAGGTGTTTACTCTGGAAGTCAAACTGATTACATTCTGCTGTAAGTTCTGTATTGTAGAAGTCAGCTTCGTGACAATGTCTATCAGTTCTCGACTGCCGCCATTGTTGTTGTGCTGCACGGAACTCTGGGATCGCGCACTTGTCTCTGTTCTATTAATAGACTCTTGTTCCACTAGACGTATCAACACTGATCTACGTGCGGTCTGTGGGAAGTTTATTCCGCGATTATTCAAAAACTCTTTCAACCGGGAAACATGCCAGTTTGCGGGGAGTTCTGGATCATACGGGGCAGGTCTTGTGGATCGTTTAGGTCCCATCTTACGAAGTTACGTAACGTTATTATTATGAAACACAAAGTCAGTTGAATTCGTCTCGGAAACACTAAATATAAACGTCAAAAGTTCCAATAATATATAAAACATCTAATACACACGCATAACAGGTTTTAAAAGTAATCCATATTGTGAATGGTAGAGAAAATCAAAGATAATAGCTTCTTCACATTAGTCCGTGACTTCTAGGCTCCAACTGCAATTGCCAGACTCCCCCTCTAGGCATCAATGCCCCTGGCTACTCTTTTCTTATTGGTTAATCCAAAAAATACCCCATAGACAAAAACTATTTATAGAAACACATCCTGGTTACATAAAAAATAAAATGCAACAAATTTAGTTCAGTCACAAAGGCTAGAAAAGACAATTTGTGTATAAATAATAATTTAATGTCATTAAATATCAAGAGTTGGCAGATTACTAAGAGTGATGACCTGTCTTATCAATGGGCTTAAAATGAATGAATCAAAAGCTCCTGTCAATGGTGTGACAGTCAAAACACCCATTCTCTGCTTTGCTATTTGACTAAAGGGTGAGGTTATTTTCCCATCATGCGACAGCCTGAAGAGCGGATAGAGCATACCGTGGTTTCATTATTATTCGTGGAGCACCAATTTTCGTGGATTTCGTTGTCAAGTCGATCCCCGAAATCAGATGTTCATCGAAGTTTGGTTCCTCCATTTTGATAAATCTTTAAAAAGCCCATTCCAGCTTTCAATAATATATATTAAATATCCCCCTTTCTTAATAGATTGACTTTAAAGACGTATTATATCATTTTAAGAATATTAAAAAAAAAAAAGAAGGAATTATAATAAGAAATAATTTTACATAATTATCTCAACTTTTTGAGTAAAAATGTTTTAATATTCTGCACAGAGATAAGGCCATAATAAAAATATTCCTAGATTCTCATCCCCGCCCGCCCCGATTTTATACGATTTTTTAAATTTCTGTTTTTCTTCATCGTAATTCTGATCGGGATCGGTATTCATCTACCACTCTACTTTCGTTTTAAATCCCGCGAAAGTCGACATGATTTTGACAGCTGAAAAGATGGTAATTGCTGTAATACATGCGTATATATTTTAAACAAGTCATTGCTTAAAAAAGATTGGTGATGATGTGAAGTAAGAGATAGCTGAACATTTACTATAACCTTTATTCGGGTATTGTAGATAAGATTACACTGATTGACCAAGTCAATAAAAAATCTGCAAAATTGAAAAAAATAAAAAATATAAAATAAAAGCCGCCCGCCCGCCTCGACTTTTAAAAAAATTCGGATGAGAATCTAGCAATTTATTTATTATGGCCTAAACAAACAACACATAGATCTGTCAATGCAATGCATTTAGCAATCTG